CATTCGGCGCACGGATCCATAGCTGCCAGCGCTGCATACTGTCGTAGGACGTTCCCGCGGTCGCGTGCGCCTTGCCGCGGAACTGCGCGAAAGATCTGCGCTTCAGCGCTTGGGATCAACATCTCCTTTCGGCAACGCTTCTCTAGTATCCCGTCTCATCTGGTTACACACTAGTCTAACAGTAACACAGCCTGTCAGTGTCACAGACACAGGTAGCATTGATACATACTGACATAGACTCATACTACTACTACTACTACTACTACTACTACTAGTATTACTACTACTATAGTCATACCTAGCCACAAGTTCCCTTCTCGCTTAACACTACTTTGGCGAGAGGGACACTACGTTTCCTACGACGTGTAATACTAACAGTCGGAGAGCCTAGCTGGTCGGTTCAAGTCATAGCCTCATACTCATACTCATAGTCATAGACATAGCCATAGGGCCCTACCAGTACCATAGCCTAGGCATAGTGATTAGTGACTCACTCAGTTACAGTATGGTCACGGTGTACTTCTAAACATACAACGAATTTAACATGATACGCTGACCACTTCATAACACGCCTATTTACATTTACTACAATATTTATTATCTTGATTTACGTTTTAACGCGTTTTAGTTGGTGAGATCCACTGAATTATTGATATATGCGAAACTACTCTTCGTTTGTTGTTCTAAATGCATACTCGAGGATTCTCACGAGATATGACGAGAAATGTGATGGCAGCAGCTGAAGCCTTACTTTTGTAGAAGTCTTGGTAAGTGTTGAAGCGAAGTGATAGCACAGAAAAAAATATATATTGTAACAACAATAGCTGTTTTACTCATATAATTTTAATGTTGCTTTTGTTGTTGTTCACTTGTTGTTCATTAATCATCCTGTTGCACGAGGTCATGGTCACAATGAATGTAGTAATAATAGCTAGTACTACTAGTACTACTAGTACTAGTAGTAGTATAGCCATAGGGGCCTACACACACTGTACACAGTGTATTTTTTTTGGTTAACAACGGAGTGTCTGTGGCTAGATTACTGCTGGGAGGGACTCAGACAGGAATCTGGAGAGGGCCTGTTTCAGTGTTTGATGATGGCATCCATCTCTGGTGTTAGATTCTTGGTTTCCCCAGTAAGGCTGGCAATGTCAATTGTCCGATGGCTTGGGTTGGTGTTGGTCTTCACATACCCTAGTCCGCAAATGCAGACGTTATAACTCCGCTTTGCTAATCTGAGGGTGCGGGTTTATCCATTACTGGGGTCTGCGTCGGCTCAGACTACACATACCCCAGATCGATCGTGTCGGTCATCTTCTCCCTGCTAACTCGACTCAGTGACTGGTCTGAGTCGTGAGCAATGGAAGATCTTGTGGTCCACGGTCTCATTGGCAAGTCCACAGTCGCAGAGGGGACTATCGCTTGCCCTGATCTTGAACATGTGGTCTTTCAGTTTTGTATGTCTGGTGCGATAGAGCAATCAAAACTGGATCTAGTTATGTCCCAATATTATCACAAAGCTTCAATAGCATTACACTGCAAGAAAAATCTGATTTAACCACTAATCACTCATCACCCATCACTGTAATGTCCCTGCATGTGTGCATACATATGTGCGTGTGTGCGTGCGTGCATATGTACTGTGCGTATGTGCATGTATGTGAACTCACCCCTTCGTGACGAACGGCGGCAGGTCCTTCGTCTCGTCAGCAGCCGACACATAGACGAGCCGTAGACCAGCAACGTCCATGCACTGATCGTAGAGGTTCGAAAAGCAGTGATGTACGGCGTAGTAGTCCGTGTACATCTGTGAGGAACAAACCCAGGCGTCACACATCACACACACATGTCACACACGCACGCCCGCACGCACGCACGCACGCACGCGACACGCACACGCGCACACGCACACGCACACGCACACGCACACGCACACGCGCACGCGCACGCGCACGCGCACACGCACACGCACACGCACACGCACACGCACACGCGCACACACACACACAGGTAACACCTTATAGAAGCAGTGATGTATAGCATAGTCCGTGAGGAACAAACACATATGCCACACATCACACGCACAAACGTCACACACACACACGTTACACAGTATAAAAGCAGTCAGGTACAGTGTAGCAGTACACACGCCTCTGTGAGGAAACACGTCACAGTCCCAGCAGGGCACACATGACGTTAGTTACCTCAACTAAGAATCACCTTAGAAACTAGACAGAACAGAGTCTAGCAAGGAAATACACACGTTAGCTGCTAGCGAAACTCAATATCACCATCAACACAAATAGGGTATGCAGCTCTGTGTGGCGGGGTGATGCGTGCATATATGTATGTGTGTGGCTGTGCGTTCACGGGTATATACGTAAGCTTACCTTTGGCGCTAATAGACAGACCGCGTTGTCGGTGTCGGCGTGTGGCGGCGCGACGTGTGCGGGGAGGCAGCCCTGAACGTCGACCGTCTGCCAGAAGACGGGCTCCTCATACGTCCGTCCCGTCTGTCCGTCAACAATTTGGCTACCGTCAACGATAAACTCAAGACGCGTGTTGACCAGCATTTTTCAAATTTTCATGCAGTTGTTGACTCCTAATGGGAGAGGTTTTGAACGTCCTATTTTGGAAGACGCCAGTCGACCTACTATGCGAGCACGTCCTACTTTTGGCAAAAAATGGAAATGGCCTAAATTCAGTTCAAGAGATTGCAAAGTCTATATATTTTTATTCGTCTAACTGGTAACAACTCTACAATCATACTTATTATAAGTGTAATATTGTGTTTTAGATTCTTTCGATACAGTATTGACTGGAATATTTTATTTTTTATTGCGCGATATTCGAAAAACCCAAAATGCGCAGATCATTAGGCGTAAGCAGCTCTCTCGTCAAGATTCAGACTTTCAGATCTGAAAACGTTCTATTTTCGCCATCAAAACTATATATCATGTATCATATATGTATATATATACCAATTATATCCATTATCAGAGTATAGTAATGGGAGATATGCCTATATATAATGGGAGTTCTCCATATATATCTCTTATTTATATATCCGCCGCTCCCTCTTTCTATCACACCCAAGTGCGCTACCAGCTCGTCATTCGACACTTTTCATTACTGATTTTACACGAGATTACAAATCCTGGCATTACTTGCCTCCACACTACATATCTAACACACGCAGCACACGCACACACATGTATTACTTGAGGCTATAATTTATTACAAATTCTTCATCTTGCCTGCACATTAACGCCTTATATTTATTAGGCACACGGGGGTCGTGAGTGCCGAATGGGCGCCAGTGCTTTGATGGGTGAGCGCGTGCAGTGATTTTTCTCTGGCTCTGTGGGAGAAGTATGTTACAGATTGGCCGGTGCTGCAACGTTTTACCCTATCTAATGCATTCGCTATATCCTACTTAAAGCGAATGCTCAAAAAACATTGCAATCAAATCCTGGAACGTTTGTATACACACTACTGCTCTTGTGATCGATCTGGGGCCGTGCTAAGCGTTCCGTGCGTTGTGCCTGTTCTTTAGTTTCTGTGTTTTTGCATGGACTTCACACAGGGAGGAGTCGTCCGACGGCCGATGCGGCCGCTGCCGGGAGATGCTGCACCTCGACACGGTGCTGTGTCAGCGTGCTGTTGTCCAGCCAGCGCGGTGCAGATTCACGGAACATCCACTTGCAAAGCCCATGCGACACAGGTGACGCCGTCAACTTCGTAACCCGAATCGACACTCTCAGTCACGATTTTTGAACTCGCTGAAGTTAATTTTTGACCCGTGTTGTGACTGTGCCCGCAGGCAAAAGATTGCAGTGTCAGAAATACTTGACAGGCAGAGACAACCAATTATGCTAATACTAGCTCACTAACTCGAGAATTTCATACTTTTCGATTGCTCTTTACAAATAACTCTTTAAGACCCTGCATTGATGCATTATACGATGAAGTTCTCTCGAGCCGCGTTGGCATCGCAGAATCGCCCCGCCTTCACGTTCTTACGTACAGTTCGCGAACTACATATATAACGAGCTGCTCTGTGCTCCGTCTGCCCTGCGATGACGCCGTGCGATTCCTTGCTGCAGGTTTTGACGTACACGTTTCACGATCCTGGCCCTCTCGTGGCCTGCCCTCACCTGGTGCCAGCGCCGGCGGCGCGGCGGACCGGCCCAGATGAGCCGCCGTGTCCGTTACAGCGTCATCGCGTCTGCAGCCAGTAGTGGCTTGACCGCGTCCAGACTGCAGCTCGCAGATCAGCCGCCAGGTTGCCGCGGCCCGCTCCAGCGTGTCGCCGTAGTGAGCACCGAGGCGCAACAAGGTGCGTAGCTGCTTGCACTTCTCGGCGGTGCAGGCGGCGATTCGGATGTTTGGTTTACGGTCGTCTGAAGTCAACAGGCTTCTTGTTAGGCGGACGAGAAATTCACTTCACCAATTGCCGGTATTTTCGATTTTTTTATAAATTTAATATATTTTTGCGGGATAAATTTTTAACGATCACGCGACGCAATTCCTGACCGTGAAAATTTGACGCCGAGCATGCTGAGAATGCTTAGATTACCACGTTCACTGGCCTTTGTAGTCGGCTCACTGTCAGTTGCCATAGGTAACCATCTTCTTGCCTAGCTTACACGCCGTCGTAGGCTCTAGCCGCTTCTGCGTCAGCTTACCACGGTAACCGTCTCCGTGGTCGCGTTTCGTTGTCGTACCTTGTAAACCGCTTTACGTCCGGTCGCACAAGTTACACTGCTTCGGTCGGTCTCCCGCCGTGTTACCTCGTAAACCGCTTTATGCCGTCGGTGCGCCAGGTAACCGCCTCGCTGTCTGCGTCCCGCCAGCGCGACGAGATATGCGGACGCCGTCCAGCACGCATCGGCCAAGTGTCTGCTTCGGCGGTGGAACACGCTGCACAAGCGCGGCGCCGTGGGACGGAGCGTTCGCTGGCTGCCCGCGATGAGAGGTCGCGATGGAGCCGACGCGCGAGGAACGCAGTACTGCTACGCGGGCGCAACCCCAACCGATGTCTCGAAACCGTCTGCTCACTTGCATCCATGGTACCCGGCGTCTCGAGGCGGGGGGGGGGGGTTAGGTGGGAGTGGATGGGGAGTTGGAGTGCGTGTGGCAGGAAGAGTTGGAGGGGAGTTGGTTTGGGAGTGGAGGTGTGGGTGCGGGTGGCGGGGGGAGGGTGGAGTGGCAGGGGGTGGCAGGGGGAGTTGGGCGTGGGTGGCAGGGCGGAGTGGAGGGGAGGCGGTGTGGCAAGCGGAGTGGAGGGGGGGGGGGGTCTGAAGGTAGTGTGGCGGGGAGTGAGAGTGGGGGGCGGTGGGGTGGAGTCTGGCGATGGCAGTGAGGAGGGTGGAGTGGCGGTGGTGCATGGGGAGTGAGAGCTGAGTGCCATGAGAAGAGAGGTGGACGTGGAGTGTGGGGCCTAGGGGAGTGAGAGTGTTGGGTGGCAGGGGAGTGGGGCTGGGCGTAGCAGGGGGAGTGGAGTGTGAGTGGCAGGGCGGAGTGGAGGTGAGTGGCCAAGGGGGAGTGGAGGTGAAGTCGGCAATGAGCCGAGGGGGCGAGTGGAGGTGCGTAGCAGGGGGAGTGGAGACGTGAGTGGCAGGGGCACAGTAGAGATGGTGAGTGGCACATGAGGGAGGGGGCGAGTGTGAGCGTGGCGGGTCAGCAGGGGGAGTGGAGCGTGAGTGCGCAGGGGGGCAGTGGAGATCCGTGAGTGCAGTGGGGAGGGGAGTGGAGGTTGGTGCAGCGAGACGTGGAGCCGTGCAGTGGCAGGGGGAGTGGCGTTGTGGCTGGTGGCGGGGGCGGGGTGGAGAGAGTGGTGGCGAGTGAGGAGGGGGGAGTTGGAGCGTGGGTAGAGGGGCGGTGGAGCTGTGTGTGGCGGAGGGAGTGGGGTAGTGGCCAGTCGAGGTTGGAGGTGGGTGGCCGGGGGCAGTGGAGCATTGCGGTGGCGGGGGGTGGAGGTGGCGTTGGGAGAGGGAGTGGAGGTGTGTTGGCGGGGGGAGCTAAGGGTGGGTGGCGGGTGAGTGAAGAGTAGGCTGGGGAGTGTGGGGTGGCAGTGAAGAGGGAGGTAAAGACAGCAGAGTGCAGTCTTTATGCCCACCGAGGACAACCGTGCTTGTTATACGAGGGTGGACTCACACTCGGTTACGAGCGCACGTGATACATGCAGGTCTGTATGCTGTGACGCGACGGCCGTGATGACCGGGCAACATAAGGGTGGTCGTGGTAACTAACGCACCCTCTTGCTTGCACGCACGCAGGTGACACGCAGCAGATACCAGCACGCGGTGAGGCGCTCTCGTGTTTTGGCTTGAGCCTGAGCCATTACTTCTGCGAAGACGCGTCGAACGTTCAAGGTCGTGCCTCCCGCGCCACTGTCGCCCGCCGCCCACACAGCCAGCACGACAATGCGTCTGAATCTATTAGCCGCCAAAGGTAAGCTTACGTTATTATACCCGTGAACGCCACAAGCCACACACATCATTAATATGACGCATCACCCCGCCACCACAGAGCTGCATACCCCTATTTGTCTGTTTGATGGTATATCCTGAGTTTTCGCTTAGCAGCCTAAACGCTGTGTATTTCCTTGCTAGACTCTGTTTTGTTAGAACGGACTTGCGGCCCGGTTTTTGCTGCGCAGCGCACATCTCGCGTGCGAAGCGCGCCCCATACGCGGAATACGCCGCCCCCTTTTTTGTCCACTTCTAGCAGATATCTTGAGACAGGGCGTCTGAAAACGCACTCAGCGAAAAACTGGGCGCATCCAACCGACATTTCGCGATGGACAGCGTTTTAGGCCCATCTCCAACACGGCCCCTAACTATTTTGTGGTGGCGCGCCTCATGGCTAAGAACGATAGTGACTCCTTACAAGAAACCTCAAGAAATGCTGTCAATCAAGCGATCGACGCCGGCCATCGCTCGTTAGGCCCGCTACGCGAATGACTGGCACTTGCCGATATAGAGTTTTGTAACTATTCAATAGCTTTTTACGGACAAGTGTCGTGCGCCGCTCAGTGGGGGGGCGCGGCCTACTGCCCTATCTGAAAATGCGATGCACGCCGCTTACGCGCGCCTGGCTGCAGGTACGTGCCCACTGATTTTCAGCAACCCGCTGCCGTCGGGCAACGGCACCGTCGTGCGACCACCTACGCTGGCGTGGCCGTGCGGCGAATGTTTTTCCCCAAACGGAAGTGATTTAAGGCGCCTTTTGATGGCTGGATTTGGCAGATGTCATCCTCCATGACTCTGTAGCCAAAGATCCCAATTATCTACCAAAACTTTCCCCCAACTTTCTGCAGTAAGTAGAGGTTAATGTAGTTTTTTAGTATGTTTTCTCTTAAAACAACAATGGGTTGAAGTGAATTACCAAATCATCACTGCCGTTTCTTCGACTTGAATTTGCTTTGCACTTGAAGAAAACCTTCAAGACAAAGGAACAAAACGCCGCTTCTTGTAAATGTTCTGGTTTGCGTTTTACTGACCTCGAGATAAGAGTAATAAGTTTTCTGGATGTATTTATCCATGAAACACACATATTTTACCTCAATTATTTATAACACATATCATAATTACTATACTTGCCACTTCTTTGCTGCAATGTGTTATTTTCACTATAAATTTAAGTTATGAGAGGCCGGGTTTTTCTATTTCTGGGGGCTTATTATTTATAGTTACTTACTACGCTGCTCGAATTGTCTGTTTATGTTCCGTGCCGTTGCGTCCGAATTAGTTTCGTTTCAGCTTGACCTCAGGGTTTAACACTATGGCTACTACTAGCGTACTACTACGGTACTAGTAATACTACTACTCTAGACGTCAACGAGATACGAGTACGTATAGCTCTCAGTACTGTCGTAGCCTAGTACATATATTAGTAGCGTCGCTAGCCTTCTGTCTAGATAGTGCATCGAGGGGCGGTCGTTGTCGCTAACGGACTACAGATATCTACCCGAGCGCGTACCATATATGTATACACACAAGCTGCCTTACCAGACTTGTACTTCAGACGTAGTACCCTAACCCCTACCACTAACCCTACCCTAACCCTAACTCTAACCCCTAACCCACTAACCTTAAACATACCTCAGATTAAAATATAAACATAAGACTAAACCACCTACAACTACATCGGCGATACATTATCTGTCAGTACCTTGTTACGACAACGAACCTTCTGTGCCTCTAGTAGTTTCTTGTCGTACCCCTTCGCTCCTTCCTCAATCCTGCGACGAAGCCACTATGAGTGCGTGTACATACGTATGCTACTGAATAATATTACGAGAGCCCAGACCCTCTCCATAACTTAAGATGAGATGAAAATCAAGACATTTGCAGAAAGAATTGCGAATTATTATAGTGATATTAATACTGTTATATACATGAAGGAAAAGATATGTTCTTCAATGGAACATACATTCAAACAAAACGGTACTTAATTCTAGCTGCCGTCATAAACCCAACAAACATTTACAAATGTGCGGTTTGTTCTCTGTCAAAGGCAAAGAAATCGAAGCAACCAATCAGAAGGCGCTTATATCTTTGCAATATGTTTCTACCGTTTATGCGGAAACAAGAATTTCGCTGCGCCGGCGAATACTGCGAGACGTGGTGGCGTGCCGCTGCAGTTTTTCACGGTTTAGCCTAATCTAGTAGATACTGGCTGGCAAGCAGGACCGCAGCAAACAATACTCGCCCTGACCGCGGCAGCGTTGCCAACAGCCAAGCAGCGCTCATAAGGTCTATGTCCCCAGGTACTGCGGAACGTACCCCCTGGCGTACGTCGGTATACCGGATACGTACTCTGGTCACTATTTGATATCGTATGGCGCTTAGGATTAGGGTTAGCGGTTAAGTTTAGGGTTAATGGGTTCGGGTTCGGGTTAGCGGAGTAGGCGTAGGCGCAACTCCCTAGACTCTGTTTAGATGCGAGTTAGTGCGAGTAACGGTCCACGCTATTAGATAGTGCCAGGTACGTTAACGGTATAACCGGACGTACCAGGGTCGTTCCGGGCCCGAGTACCCGGGGGACATTACACCCTCTCGCAGCCGCAAGCAGGCAGCCGCACTGCCCGCCGTAGCCGAGCCGGCTGTATGGTGTGACGAAAACTGGGGGCGCCGATGTTACGCTTTCCCGCTATTTACGGATTCGCTGCGCCCTGCCCTCCTTCCGCGGGCGCCAGCGAATTCGTATCAGCGGGCAGCCGCGAACTGCTACATACACACCCACCGCGGTCGCAGTTAGCGCCCATTCCCGCGGAGTCGCGCGCGTCATTAACCGCTTCTTTGCGCGGTCGTGGGAACAACGCCATCTTTTGCGCAACGCCATCTTGTACCCGGTCTCTTTGGTTTCTTAACGGTTGATTCTTAGTTGAGGTAACTAGCTGTCATTGTGTTGGCCCTGGCTGGACATGTGACGTGTTTCCTCACAGAGCGTTGCTACTGCCCCCTTCACTGTACCTGACTGTTTATAGCTAAGTGACGTGTGTTGTGTGATGACGTTTGTGCGTGTGAATGTGTGGCATATTGGTGTTTGCTTCTTCACGGACTAATGCTATACATCACTGCTTCTATAAGGTGTTACCTGTGTGTGTCAGTGTGTGCGTCGCATGCTGGCGTGTGACGTGTGGCGTGTGCGTGTGCGTGCTGCGATTCCGTGCGTGTGCCGTGTGGGTGTCGTGTGCAGTGTGCGTGTTGCGTGCGTTCGCGGGGCGCGCGTTGGCCGTGTGTGACATGTGTAGTGTGATGTGTGACGCCTGTGTTTGTTCCCTCACAGATGTACACGGACTACTACGGCCGCCGTTACATCCACTGCTTTTCGAACCTCTACGAATCAGTGCCCCATGGGACGTTGCTGGTCTAACGGCTCGTCTATGTGTCGCGCTACTGACGCAGCACGAAATCGGACCTGCCGCCGTTCGTCACGAGGGTGAGTTCACATACATGCACATACGCCACCCCACGTACATATGCACGGCATT